CAATGATCTGATGTTTAATAAGCTGAAAAGGTTTTTTTGACTTAGATTTTTACTTCAGTGCTACAGCTTGTCAGCCTGCACCTGGCAAAAGGAAATGAAGAAGTGATTGTACGATACATATAATCAGATCGGGCCTGAATAAATTGATACCTCATGCGTACGTATTTGCACTGATAGCTCCACCTGTACAAAGCTGTGTGCCATTTACAGGTATCTCTGTGTTTCTGAGTAAACTGCAGTGCATATTAACTCATTTTTCCCCCCACTTCATTGGACACTTGGGCTGCTGCCATTGTTCTCCAATTTGCCATTTCAGCGGTACGGTGTCTGTAGGTGGCAGTCAGGGGTGAACCACAAGTACGTTTCTGTCATTAATCTCACACAGGCCTGATGAACTTTGGAAACGTTGCTAATAACTCTAACAGAGTTACAGTAGCATCTTCAGTGGTTGAGAGTATTTTTTGCACAGTAACCTTAAAATATGTAACGTGCACAAACTCTACAAGATGCATGCTTTAGTTATTAAGCATGAAATATAGGTGTTTGAGGTCCTTGCATCTTTATGGTGCTAGTTCTGTGTGTGAAGGGTGCAAGGACTAACTCAACTACTTAAGCTTTGCCTAAAAACACAAGCCTACCGCTCACAGACATTTGAAAACCAGGCTATACCATACATGGTTTGTGTTCTTTACATAATGCAAGCTACTGGCTTTTGTGTTTTGCAAGACTATTTTGTTTTCCTCAGAGCAAGAATCACACGTGCTGAATGCAGACAATTGGTATTCTGTTGGCTGATCTCGATCCTCTGTAATTTATTACCAAGTCGTAGTTCAGAGCTCGCAGTAGGTAGGTGTGCATGTCCTGAAGCCGCAGGTCATGCCAGCACAACAGCTGTGACTTTCTACTGAAGTGTTCATGTATAATAAGAATGGAAAATATTTATTTTTTTCTTCCTCTTGTAAATGGACATTGTAAACAATAGTGTGTACTATATTCTTTATATACAGTCATTGCTGCACAGAACTGATTGTACAAAGAGTAAAGCCATTGACGATAAGCGCTTGAGCCTGAGCACCGCTGAGCAGTTTGAAACAGCCAGCTTGTTGCAACTCGCCTTGTGCATTGTAGTATTTAAAGTTCGTTTATCCTGCACAAAGCAGCACAGTAATGATTTAGGGAACTGGAAGCTATCTTTTATTAACAACAGCAAAAAAATAAAAGAGAAATTGGAAGTGTGGAAGCTGTGTTTTTTAGGAGGGAGGGGGCACTGAACCTGGTTCTTGGCTGTTACCTGATGATGCAGCAAGTCTGGATTCCTCAGCTGTGTGATTAATTTGTAATCCTTTCTCCTCGTTTGTATACTGTGGGCTTCTTCAGACGGGTCTTGGGGGCGATGTGCAGCCCCTGACAGGGTTATACATTACAGCACCTTCCAGTGCCTGAAGGGGCTACAAGGAAGCTGGGGGGGACTTTTTACAAGGGCCTGTAGTGACAGGACAAGGGGTAACGGGGTTAAATTGAAAACAGGGAGGTTTAGATTGGATATCAGGAAGAAGTTCTTCCTGGAGAGGGTGGTGAGGCAGTGGCACAGGTTGCCCAGAGAAGCTGTGGATGCCCCATCCCTGGAAGTGTTCAAGGCCAGGCTGGATGAGGCTTGGAGCAACCTGGTCTAGTGGAAGGTGTCCCTGCCCATGGCAGGGGGGTTGGAACTGGATGGTCTTTAACGTCCCTTCCAACCCAAACCATTCTATGATTCTAGGATGTCACCGCTCCTGAGCGCGGGGCAGCAGGTGCACGGAGATGTTGAGTGGGGCTGCTTTTTTACGTGAAGGTGGCTTCAGGGTGGTGCTGTCGAAGCTCCGCACTCTCTCACTGAGAACAGTTTGATGCTGAGAAGGGCTTGGTACCCTTCAAAATTTTTTTTCCAATCCTTTGGATGTTGAGAGAATAGCGCTTCCCTATTCTGTCTGTAGGGGTGGGGTGATAATTTTACGGAGCAGCGTTACGGTTTTAATGTATTGTTGCCCGTTCCCGTGTTTCCCGGGAAGTGGCGTCAGGAGCCCGCTCGGCGCCTGGCGAGGCTTCAGCCCGCTCGTCTGCCGCGCCGCC